TTTTATCATATTTAAATCGAAATAAACAAACTTAATGTCTTAAAAACGTTACAAACATATAAAATAGATAAAAAAAATTATTATAGAAACAAGTGTATGAATATGAAATATATTTTACAAAAAATAGTATGAATGTAAAAAATATTACACCAAAAGTAAATTTGAAGTACTAAATTGGTAATAAATTGGTAATAAATTGGTCAATAAATAAGTTAATTCAATTGTAATTTAATTAGTTAAAGAAATACTAGAAAAATCAAAATTAGTTTTTAATATTTAAATAGAGAAGAAAATAGTTGAAAGAAAACAAAAAAGAAAAATAAAGAGATAGTGTTCCAAAGAAATCTGGAGGACTTGAGTATGAGGGAAAGAAAGGAAACTAATGTAGTGCTCCAGAGAAGAAAAAATGGTGCCGTATGTGGTATCGGTATACCATGTGCATGGTATACCGATACCACTGTATAATTTGCGATGTACTTTATTGAAACTTGTTTACGGACAAAATATATTTTTTGTTTGTGAACAAGTTAAAAAAACATGCCTTCGGTCACAAACAACGTAACGTGTATGGACATGTACAAAAAGTCGAATACAAACACTTTTTTCTAAAATACTATCCGGTTCCATAAAAGTTTTAACAGTTTGACTTTCACGTTTGCCAACGCGCAACTTTGACTGTAATTATATTTATTTACGTATTAGTAATATTATAAAAAGTTAATATATTGGAAATTTACATTAATACAAATTTATTAATATTTTTATTATATATATTATTAGAAAATCATAGTCACAGTAAGATGTGTGAATAGTTATGAAATTCGAATATTTCAACTTTTATCGAACGGAGCAAGTATAGGCAAAACTTGCATACTAAAAATCATTCATAAAACGAACATCACAAATGCTAAAGGTACCCCAAAATGTACCCCATTTTTACCCTCACATCCTAATGTGTGGCCATAAATGGAGCAATTCATTTAAGTGGGGCACCACTTAATAAAAGAAAATGGTCAGACGTGCTTTTCCAGGAACGGCAAAAATAAAAGAAATTGAATAAAATAAAAAGAAAAGTGGGGAAGAAACAAAAAGAAAAAGCTTCATCATCGTATAAGTCCTCTTTCTGCAGCTTTTGGTTATCTCGAGGAAGCATAATTTTGACAGAATCCTGACATAAGCATATGGCATCAACATGCTGTTCGAACGATGATTTTTTTTAAGTGGACTTGGAACGATGAATTTATTCATTTACAATTCCTTTTCATGAATTATTCCTTTATTGAATGAGAATCATAATTCCTGACCCGTTGGTTCGTTTATATTTTCTACTTATTAATAATCATCCTATCTTTTTAATCATGTTTTTAGTTTGATCGTAATTTACTGATCTGGTTTGGTCTATAAACGTCTGATCTCTGTGTATTTTATAATTACGAAAGTCAAGTTTAGTCGGGTCTTTTTAAGCCTGATCTGGTTTGTTTAAGTTTGGTCTGATCTGATTTGGTATGTTTAAGTCTGATCTGGTCTGGTCTGGAACTGAAAACAATCCAAGTAAAAACATCCTAAGCGTTATGGTATTCTCCATCTTACAAAACCATGTACAATTTCTCTATTTAGTCGTTTCATTTAAACTAAGGAATAATACAACAATATTTGATAAAAAAAAAACTTTTTTCTTTATTCAAATTTCAATAACAAACTTTTTAGTTTAACATTTTATCGTCAAGTCAACATGGGACGAATGAAGTATTTAAGAAGAAAATAGTTCGTGCAATATAGAAGGTATTTGATAAATTAAAACGTAAAAAGAGAATATGTTAAGAACTTGAAATTAAATAGAGAGTATTTTGTAAAAAGAAAAATAGGAAGGGCAATAAAAGTAAAAGTGAAAGTATAAAGATGTTTTTATCAAAAAAAATCTAAAAATGAAAATGAGACAATTAGAAAAAACTTTCCAAAGAAAATATATGACAATTAATTATAAAAGAACAAAGAGAGCATTATATATATGTTCATATTTTTAAGAAATATTAAACTTTTGATTTAACGAAATTTATTATATAATAATAAAAATAAGTAATGTCGCAAGAGCTGGCATATACATATTCCTAATATGAAATTATTACTAGGGGAAGTGCATTCGAGCAATTTTTTACATATGATTCTAAACTTAGGTCTAGCTAGGCGGCGCTAAGTAGTGTAAGCATGATAGAGCACCCTCATTTCGTTGTAATTAGTAAGAAAAATCAGTCAATTGGTAATTCCTATTTTCAATTTATCAGCTTTACCAGTCACTTTTTCTTACCAATCACGTAGGTTTTTGACTTCATTTGCTGAATTGTGTAATAATCAAAATCAGTGAGGTTGCAATTGCTTTTCTGATTGAATTGGCTAAAGTTACGGTAGAAAATAAGTTTAGCTATTTTCTATGTAATTTTGTCTTAATTTTATTAATAAAATACTCCTTTATACTCTTTTATAATGTAGTACGTGGATTCAGTCAATTCAAAACTTGAATTAGAATTTCATGAATTTCACCATATTTATCCATTTCCGCGAATTCCACTATTACCAATGATAGTGATTTATTATATGAACTATTTCTATTGTGAAAGTATTATAAAATATTTAGTAAATAATATGTATTCTTAAATCTCAAGGAAAAAAATAGAGGAACATCTAGGTGCCTTAATCAGCGCATTGGCGGGTTAGGCGTTAGACGGTCACCTTTCGCTCATTTAGCGACTATCTCCTTATAAAATACTCCATATTACGTGCTATTTTTACATAAAATTTTATACATATATAATGACAAGATTTCACTAAAATGTAGGTGGGCCCACACGCACTAAAGTCCCATCGGCGATGCTCAGACACATAGATAACCCGACCTTAGGATGTCTTCTTTTGGATAGAAATTTACTGGTCTGACATGGTCTTGTTTGCTCTAGTCTTTTTTAGTCTGGTCTGGTCTGTTTTAGTCTCATCTAGTCTGGCATGCTCTGAAATTTTGTTTTAACTGAAGTATTATCTATATATTATAATTCCCAAACAATTAATTCTTATTCATATATAATTAAAAATAATAAATTTCCTTCCACATCATCGAAAAATGTAATGTTTCTATTGGGACTGATTTCAGTCCTCGACAAGACCGGATTGCACACACCAGACCATACTTAAATAGATCATATCAGAATAAACCAGTTCAAACCAAATCAGATATAATAAACCAGACCGGACCAAATTTAAATAGACCAAACCATACCAAATTAGAAAATTTAATCCAATTAAAAACATCCGTAAAATATTCATTTGTATGATAATATAATCTGTATCTTGTACTCGGAGTTCGAGTATAACCTTTCCATATACGTACGGAGTAATATCGAGGTAAGGGTCAGTTTGGTCCTCGAAGTTGCATAAAAGGGGTCAAATAAGTCTTTATAACGTCCCTACTCTCCGGGAGTCGTCATTTGGGGCGGTTCCCAATGGAATTTTTTGATAAATTTTTTTTAACATCTTATTCATTAAGTTTAGTTTACTCATACCAAATTTCAGATAAAACTTAAATCGGGAAGGCATTCAAATGAAGTTTTGAAGATAACTGCGCAGTTAAAAGCGCAGTTATCTTCAAAACTTCATTTGAATGCCTTCCCGATTTAAGTTTTGGCTGAAATTTGGTATGAGTAAACTAGACTTAATTAATAAGATGCTCAAAAAATTTCATCAAAAACTTCCACCGGGAACTGCCCCAAATGGCGACGGCCGGACAGTAAGACGTTATAAGGACTTATTTGACCCCTTTTATGCAACTTTGAGGACCAAACTCACCCTTACCTCGAGTAATATCTATAATGTGTACTGCGTTCTTTTGTGGTCATTAAGGTATAAAAACTAAATTTAATGCTCCGTATATTCGAATATAACAACAATTACAACAACAATAATAATAACAATTATAAGAAGAATATAAATATAATGAATCATAAATAGTATTAATAATATATACTCCGTATAATAATACTCTCTCCATCCCATTGGACTTTGCTAACTTTTCTTTTTTGGTTGTCCCCAAAAACTTTGTCATTTTTCTATTGAAGCAACTAAATTGTGGTTTTGCACATTTTTCTCTCCTTTGCACAAATCTCAACCACACAGTTTTTACTGTTCTTATTTCTCACCTACTTTGCACTTGGCAAAGTCCATCGGGATGGAGGTAGTATGATATTGATGATGATGATGATGATCAGGGGCATATTTAGGGAGGGCCAACCCTGGTCCCGGCCCATCCCAAATTTAAAAAATGTCTGGTTAAAAATTTCGTGTAAATTTCTTTATAAAAATATTCTTTGTACCGGTCTAGTCCGCCTCAGTACCCTAGCTTCGTTCCTGATGATGATGATGATTAGGATAATGAAGATAATGATAACAACAACAACAATAATAATTGGCTAATTTTTCAGAGTAACTATAATTATGTAAGGATAATAATGATAACGACGACAACAATAACAATTATAATAACTAAAAAGAGTAAGAAAACATCCGTACGGATGTTTAATTTTTCAGAGTAACTATAATTATGTAAAGTAAAAATTGGGATGGCTAATTAATTGGCTATCCTCTTGCACTTACAGACGTATATTAGGAAACACTTTATGTAGCATTGGTTCGAACCAAGGTGGATAAAGTAGGAAACAACTTGGAGACAAAAGTTGGATGTCATAGCTACAGGTGGGTCAATCAGGACAAATTCAGTAAAATTACATTATTTAAGAGGATAGAATATGAATTGTAAAAATTAAAAGGAATAAGTATGTGTAAGTTATTGAGTGACACATAAAAATGTTGGTAAAAATATAAAAAACTAAAAATAATCAGCTGCTTGAGATAAAGTTTTGTTTTACGAGTGCATTTCATCATTTTTTCAAAGAATATGTCATCACTAAAAAGGAACAAAGATACCCATATATGTGTGACTATATCTGTATAGACTTTTGGGTATTAGGCTTCCTTAGGAATGTTACATTCTGCAAAGTCTGGTTTCATTTGCTCAAGGGATACTTCTCTCTATATCTTCTTCATAACATCAAGTACATATTCTGTTTTTCTTGAAGTTCAACCATATTATCAGGAATAGCATAGTCCATGAACTACATCTAGTTTCAAAAGCTTTCTGAATTCTGATGTATAGCTAGCTAGTATATACAGATAACCTCCACTTAACATTTACCAATGGGGAAGACGGGAAGAGGGTCTTCTTGGTTAGATTTGGTAAAAAAGGCTTTCAGATCGCCTTCCAAAGATAACCAGAAAATTATCAACAGCAACGACAACAACAACAACAATAGCAGCAGAAGGGATGAATGTGAACTTGAAGAAGAAGAGGAGGAAGAAACTAAGGTTTTTAGTCATTCCTCATTAGTTAATTGATTAAATAAGTCCTTATATTACTATCATTTTACAGTTACAGCGGTTTCATGCATCTTTAAGCGATTTGCAGAAGAGAGGGAAGCGGAGATGGGTGTCTCGGAAGCTAGCTGGAGTCCATGAAACAATTACTGCAGAAAGAAATGGAATAAACCCTATTGCAGGAAATGCTGATGATGGTGATGAGTCTTGCAGACAAAAGCAGACCGTTGCAATGGCCATGGCCACAGCAGCTGCAGCTGAGGCCGTGGCTGCAACCGCACAAGCAGCCGTTGAGATGATTCGGCTCACAAGACCTTTCCTTTTGGTCAAACAACAGCATGCTGCTATTTCTATCCAGACAGCTTTCAGGGGATACCTGGTAATGTTTAATCTTGAAAATCAGTGTGCTGTTTTTAAGTTATATTAGTCTGATTGATTGCGCGTTTAAGTTTAATCGGCTATAATGTCATTAAAGATTTGAGTTTATATATTTTAAAAGGTTATTTGGATAGATATTGATGTTTTATATGTTAGTTTGTATTTTTATATTTGACTAGAGCGGGAGGGCTTAACAAAACCGAAAAGAAAGTTGCCCTGCACTCCTGCAGCATGGACACATGATTAGAGGCCCAACCTTTAGTCCTAACAGTTTTGATGTATTTTTCTTGGACAGGCAAGAAAAGCTCTTGGAGCATTGAAGGGGGTTGTGATGCTGCAGGCAGTAGTAAGAGGACATAACGCCCGAAAGCGGGCGAAAATGACTCTTAGGTGTATGCAATCTCTGGTTAGAGTGCAGACTCAAGTGTGTGATCGGCGGAGAAGGTTGTCGTGTGAAGGGAGAACGAATTGGTCACACAGAAGATCCACTGTGAGTACCTTCCCTGTTCATTTTCATTTTCTCGAGACCTTATCGAGTGCGGTAATCTTGTTTTAGACAGATTTTACTCCCATTTTAAACATGTTGGATTATTTTTTTCAATGCAGTCAAGAACAGATCTTGGAGCTTCAGCTTTACAACGTGAAAGGGTGTTTGCCTATAACTACTCTAATCAGGTACCAATTAGCCCTGCCACTTGCTTTTTCTTTTTCAAGTGTGGTCCAACCATATTCAATTTAGGTAGATAGTTTTTGCCATTTTCCCCCATAATCGTGCTTTGATCATATGTGAATCTTATTCTCTAATCAATAAATTAGTCCTTTTTTCCCATCTGAATCATTCATACATGTGCAAAATGACATGTTAGAGTCACTAGGGTTCGAATAATTGTAGTGTGTAACACATGGTATTAGATATAACCATGCTTCGGTCACATGCGAAGTTGTACACAATATTTTACACGCCTGTCAAATTAGTAGTGCACACACATTTTTTCATTTTGTAAAGAAAATTGTTTTTCACACCGATAAAAAAATTGTCTTTCTTATGACATTAATATTATATATATGAAGTTTAAAAATAGAAACATATAAAGTTTCATCCATTAGAGATTTTTTTGTGCAAAACTTTTGTTAAGTAGATCCAAACGCTAATATTAAGATCTCATGGTTGTTAAGTAGATCCATACTGATTCTATTTTACATCTTTCATTTTTTTTCAAAAATAGGTATAAATTAACAACAACAAAATAAAACTTCAAATTTATTTATTTTTATATCAAAATATTTGATATTTTAAAATCATAATTGTTGGGGAAAATTTTCAAAAAAAAAAATTGATCTATAATAATAAAATGTAGGCATTAATTAAGAAAATTTTGGTGGGTAAATATATTGACGGTGACGGATTAAAATAAAAAATGAATTGACTAAGCAAATACGTATAAACTGATGATGTGAAATCTGATTCATTGACAAAACTAGGTTGGGATTAGCCTTACATTATGTGGATAATATTTTGAGAAAAGAGTAAACAAAGGTTTTTTCTTTGAAACAAAACAAGATAAATTAAATAATGCCAAATTGCCTTAATTGTTAGATGTGGAGCTCAAGCAAGGACAAAGAAGACACAAGAAGCGATGAAGAGGTGGAGGCAAATTGTGACAGGACAGTGAGCAAGGGATATGCAAGCATAAGAAGAGCTTCGTTTGATCAAATCAGGACCGTCGAAATGGACACTGCCCGTCCCTACGCCGTCCATTCTCCCCGCACACCTGCCGGCAACATCAAACCCATCTCCGTCCACTCGCTCAGCCCGCCGCCGCCGCAATGCAATAGAGAATATCATGAGAGCGACCACCATCCGACGCCGGAAACGCCGAGCTCGCTCTCGAGCTACTTCCACCGGGCGATTGGAAGCCGGACGCCGACGGGTCGGCGGCCGAATTACATGGCGGCCACGGCATCTGCCATGGCTCGCTCCCAATCGCCAAGGCAGCAGAGGCCCTTTTCGACCCCTGATAGGGAGAGTAATTCTTCTGCCAAGAAACGGCTTTCTTTCCCGGCCCTTCCATCAGATCCATGCGAAGAAGACGACCCAATAATCAGTAGTGGGTACTCCTCCGATTATAAAACCATTGCGAGGAACCCCTTCCGCAGGGCTGCCTACGGCTGATTTGACCCGATAGGATAATCCTAGATTTTTTTTCCATAATTGGGTTTTAGAAGCTTTTAATTCGGTTTACATAGAGGGTGATTGATTTGTTGTTTTACTTGTTTAGACATTAAAATAGTGTGTAGTACGTATATGTATGTTTGAGAAACCATTTAACTGTAATTTGTTTTTAATCTAGCTGCAAAAGTGGATGACATTTAGTGGGGGCTAAAATTTAATTAAATAGCGTATATTGCACAAAATGTAAAAATGTAGTATAATAATACGATTTTAACAAAAATTATTTCAGATGTAAATAACATTTGTTGCAAAAAAATTGTCAAAGAAAACAAAGCAATATTAATTAAAAAAATAAAAAATTAATCAAAGTCAAATGAAAAAAAAAAGAGAATGGTAGATATATTACACACAACTTTCAAATTGACAAAAATGTGACAGGAATCCCGTATGGACACAAATGAGACCCGTTTAGACATGAAATGGCAGAATTACCCTTCTTCATATAAGAGGGAAAATTTGGCAAAATTTTAGTCTAACCTACCCGCCCTATCGTCTTCTTCTCTCCGCCTAGGTCTGCGTCAATTTCGCCATTCTCAGACACCACCATCGTCGGCATCTCGAACATCGCCACAATCTCCATCTTGAGTGTGCATCGTCTCCAATGATGAAGCAAGTTGCCAACGCTGAAGCACCGCAAGTCAGAAAATTCGCACCGCCATTGCAGCTCAACAACTTCGTCGCGTGCCATCATAGCAGTTCTGTCGGTCGCCTTCTTTTTCATCTCTTTTTGTCTCGCGTCGGGGATGGAGAATCCGAGGAGATATCAATTGGTGGACATCTTCCTCATTTTGGGATTCAGATCCAGGATGTCGTGTGGCGGCTGGGGCTGGTCCGATCCAAATTCAGTAGGTCGTGAAGCGACTGGGGCTGGTCGAGATCGAGAAGTTTGTGTGGTGGCTAGGGTTGGGGTCGGGCTGGTCAGGGATTGTGACAGCTAGGGTGGGTCACAGGCGAGGTTTGGTGGGTGGCTAGTGGAGGCTGTTGGGGCTGGGGTTGCTGGTCATTAGATGGGGCTGCAGGCGATGACCCGGTGGTGGTCGCCGGCGGTGGGGGTAGTCACTGTGATGGTGGGCAGTCCTTATGACGGGTTGGTAGTCACTGTGGCCGGTGGCCGACAGAGTCACTTTACCGGAGCCACTTTGCATTGTAGGATTAATATTGTGATGTTAGTCACATTTTTTATCAATGTGAATTACATTTCTTTACACGCGAGTTACATCATTCTGTGCTGCTACTGGGCAATAAAAAATCAAAAAAAAAACTTAGTGTTCACCCGCGTGAACAGTAACAGACGTTTTTGTCTGTAGGACCAACATGCTCACGATGAGCTGCTCTCACAGTATACGAAGTGGGTGTTGATACACCATATGGTCGTATAGATAATATAAATTTAGCCACTTAAACCGAAGAAGTAGCTAGGAAATATAGTTTTACACAATTGTTTTAAAAAATTCACGAGAACAGTACACGTGTGTACAATAACTATTTTTTTGTCCCAATAGCATGAATGATGTAACTCGCATGTAAAAATATGTAACTCACATTACTAATCGTCTAATCAATTGTAACTCAAGTCCATTCGAAGTGGTGTAACTTGTCAAATACATAATATAAGAATTAAGAAACAAAACATTGGTTTCAATGTAAATAATGAAAAAATAGAATCTAATTGCACAATTACTTTATGTAAATCGTGAATATGTTTTGTTTTTTAATATCATGACCACAAAAGGATTTAAAAAAATTCATTTTTTTGTTTCAATACAAGGGTTGATTTTTTATGTTACTCATGTTATTTTTAATGTAGTGTTCAACTAAGAAATTCGAGTTGTGGTGTTAAATAAGCAACCATTACATTTGAGTGACATTTTTTTCCCGGCTTAAACCACATTAGGTGGGGTTTGCCGGGGAACACCTCCCAAATTTATTTAAATAAAGTTGTGAGTACAAGAGATATGAAATTACATTTGATGAGATTAAGAGAAAGTGACAGAGAAAAAGTACGTCAGCAATTGAAATCCTTTGAGGAGATCCCAATTGCAGTTGATATTGCTCTGTTATATTTGTTATGAAACCTGATGGCATTCTTTAGATACGGCCTGAATGTTTTTTCCTCTGGACGAGATAATCTCAAGCGCTGTAGAGCTGCCGCTAGTTTATGCGGTGAATCAAACCTTTCGTCAACTGGATAGAGAAAATAGTCCGTTTCGTTTTGAGGTTTTTTTGATTGGCTTCTAGTGATCATAGGATGCGATGAATATCCGACCTCGTAGTATAGTTGAACATCTTCTGTAGTTTTCTTTAGAGAGATTTTGGAGATTGTGTTTTTGCTCTTTCTACTTTTGACTTGCGTAAATTCTTCCAAGTTTTCCTCCTCAGTTGTACAATTGTCTGTATCCCCGGCCTGCAACAAAAAAAAGTTAGCGTTTGGGTGTCCTCAGTAAAAGTTTCATCACTGGACAGGATCGGGACAAGTGTAGTCACTGCGTAATCATGCGTCGGATCAGAGAGAATCTCATCATTTCCATTTTGGGCCTCAAAAGTATCATATCCAACATTACAGGTAACGAGTTGATGAATACCCTCGGTTACCGCCTCGTGATGGGTGGCCACCGGGATTTCATTATAATAACAGGATATTTCGCGTCCGACTGCGGTGGACTGGGTAACATCGACAGGAGCCTTCTTGTGGTCTCTTAGCACTCGATTAGCATCAACACCAAGAATTATTTAACAGGTTCTCAACTGAAATAGGGACATTAGTCACAATGGCAGTAAGTTCATTAACAGGAGCACAAAGAAATCCTTGCTTCTCAACTGAAACAGGGGCATTACTCACAGAAGAATTTATACCGGAACCTGCTTGGACTTGTGTGGCAGTAACAGGGGCAAGAACTTCTTTTTCGTTAACATGAGCACAATCAGAACCTGGCTTCTCAACTGAAATAGGTGCATTAGTCACAATGGCAGTGAGTTCATTAACAGGAGTACAAAAACCTGGCTTTTCAACTGAAACAGGGGTACTAATCACAGAGACATCAATAACAGAATCTGCCTGGACCTGTTTAGCAGTAACAGGGGCACAAGGATAACATGAGTTCTCAATTGAGCAAAAAGTATCTTGAAAATTGGCCTTATCAGTGGGATTAGAAACTGCTAAAGTACCAGTAGCAATAACATCCTTAACTTTAGCGCTAGCATCAATAACATCAGTAATAGGCATAATGGCATCATTAGAGGTACCCGGCTGTTGATTAGTCAAGACTGGATTAACATTCTGTGAAGCTTTAGTACAAGTAACAATTAGAAACTGCAGTGGCATTGCAGGTTGCAGCACCACCCTTTGCCATTAGAGCTTTTAGGCATTCCTTATCTTTATGCCCAAAATGAAAACAGTTTTTACAGAAAAGGGGTAGATTTTCACACACAAATTTCTAGAAAAAACCAGTTGAACCTTTCCCAATCCAAATTTTAGGGGGCAGATCCAGAGAGACATCAATTTCGATACAAATCCTGGCTGTGGATGGTCTAGAAAAGTTGGCAGTGAGAGCATCAATTCTGATGGGATTTCCAAAAAGATTAGCAATAGAATTAAGCGCTCTTAAATCGTGTAAATGGACTGGTAGTCCATCAAGGGAAATCCATACTGGGGCAAGAGGAGTTAAGTTTGGTAGTTAAGTTCATCCATATTGTCTATCCATATTGAACAACAGAAATCCCCATTTTATTTCTTTTTTGTGCATATTTGTTCATCAAGGGATAATGATATAGACCATCAAGGGAAACCCCCATATGCACAAAAAAAGAAATAAAATGGGGATTTCTGGTAGTCCATCGAGGGAAATCCCCAATATGGATTTTTACGAATGTTTAAAGGAATTTAGAATTCCATCAAAATCCGGGTGTCCTCAACTTTGATTTTCAAAACTCTTTTAAAATCCGGGTGTCCTCAATTACTTCATGGATTTGTTTCTCTTGGATTTCAATTGATTTTAATGGAACTAGTATTATACCCGTGCGATGCACGGGAAAATTATACATGTTAAAGAATAGATTTTTTAATAATATGAATCGCACATCTAATATACTACGTAGTCCGTAATAATTTGGTATGTAATAGTGGTAGTACATTTCTTGTAATTCAATAATACTAATTATTAAATGAAAGTTAAAATCTATCATATTATAAGGAAGTAAGAAAAACATAACTAAATTGATAGTGAATCACCAAATGAAAGTTATTAATGTTTACAAATTTCGAAACACTTCTTTAAAAACAACATTTGTTGTTACATTGGTACTTTGACCTTCTTTGTCACATATAAGAACCTTCAAATCATGGAGATTAGTAACACGGGAAAGAGCCACATACAATTGTCCATGACTAAAAACAGGTTTGCGTAAAACCAATCCAACATTAGATAAAGATTGTCCCTGACTCTTGTTTATTGTCATTGCATATGAGACAATAAGAGGAAATTGTCTTCTTTGAAACTTAAAAGGCAATCTCAAATCTGATGGTGTCAAAGACATCCTTGGTATTAACACCTTTTCACCTACACTAATTCCCGTCAAAATTTTTGCTTCCAGCACATGTTTGCCTAATCTTGTGATAACCATCCTTGTTCCATTGCACAAACCTTGAGAAGGATCAATATTTCTCATTAGCATAACAGGTGTGCCAACTTTAAGATGTAGTTGATGATTTGGAACTCCCGAAGCTTTAATTCCATTTAAAAATTCTGGAGTATGAAGATCTGCTAAGAAATCAAGATTAGCATCTGATTTACATGGGCTATCGAACTGAGATATGTTTTCAACTCAGAATCATTTCATGTGAGCATGCATTCATTGATAGAGTCCACAACATCAAGAGTGGGTGCCAATATTGCTCTTTTTTCCAAATAACTCGGATCATCATCAGCGGTAGCAAGGGAAGGATAGATGCATTCTACCATCTTTGATATGGGATCTTCAAAATCTTTAATCAAGAACTCATCAGGGATTTCAATCTCTGCAAAACCATCATTTGGTCCTCCAATAGTGCCATCTCTAATGCTTGCAATCCACTCAGAAAATTTAATGAGGTATTCAGATTGATCACTTGATGGAAAAAAGTATCTTTAAAATTGGCCTTATCAGTGGG